GCCCAGTTCTTTGATCACCCCAGAAAGCCATAAGGCTTCTTTAGCAGCTTCAGCTACTACCATGTACTCTGCTTCAGTTGTAGATATTGCCACAATAGACTGAATTGTTGATTTCTAACATATAGGCCCTCCACCAAGAGTAAACACATACCCAGTTGTAGACCTTCTGTCATCCAAATCACCTACATAGTATGAATCAACGTACCCCACAACTGAAGGATCATTCTTCTGACTGCCAAAAATAATTCCATGACCTACAGTCCCCTCAGATACCTGCAAATCCACTTGACTGCTTCCCAATGTCGCCTTCCAGGTTTAGCCATGTATTTGCAGACTTGACTAACAGCATGAGCCAAATCAGATTGAGTACATACCATAGCATACATCAAGCAACCAACTACATTGGCATATGGAACCTTTGTCATGTCTTCCATTTCTGTATCTGTCTTAGGACACTGTTTTGAATAAAGCTTAAAACGATTTGCCAAAGGAGTGCTTACAGGCTTTGCATTGATCATCTCAAACCTTTCCAGCACTTTCTCAACATAGTCTCGTTGAGATAGACATAATCGTCTTGAGCCTCTGTCTCGATGAATCTCCATTCCAAGAATCTTCTTCGTATGACCCGTCTTTCATGTCAAATTTCTGGCTCAATAAAGCTTTCAAACCACGAACATCATTCATATTCTTTGCAGCAATCAGTATATCATCAACATACAGTAACAGAAAAATAATAGAACCATCATCAAGGCTTTTCACATAAACACAACAATCATACTCACATCGCCTGTAGCCAATCTGCATCATGTAGGAGTCAAATCGCTTGTACCATTGTCTTGGAGACTGTTTCAACCCATACAGCGATTTCTTTAACCTGCAAACCAGATGCTTCTGTCCATGTTGAGTGAACCCTTCTGGGTTCTCCATGTAAATCTGCTCCTCCAAATCACCATGCAAGAAAGCAGTTTTAACATCCATTAACATCCATCTGCTCGGCAAATCCCAAATAACTACTAATGCAAGCACTGCCCTGATTGAAGTATGTCTGACCACAGGAGAAAAGATTTCATCATAATATATCCCCTTCTCCTGTGAAAATCCCTTTGCAACCAATCGAGCCTTGAACTTTTCCCCTTCTTTTTCTGATACTGTTGGTTTCCTTTTGTAGACCCATTTGCACCCAATAGCCTTCTTTCCCTCTGGAAGCTGAACTAGCTCCCAAGTGCGATTTTTCTGCAAAGACTCCATCTCCTCAATCATTGCTCCCATCCATTTTTCTTTCTTCTGGATAGTGATAGCTCCTTGAAAATTGGTTGGATCATCGCTACTGATGAGAAGTGCATAAGAGACCAAGTCTTCATAACCCAATCCGCTAGGAGGTCTTACATTGGTGTGTCTCTGTCTATCTCTAGGTAGATTGTAATTCTGTAGATCATCTGGAATAAAATCACCAGGTGTTGGATTTGAACTTTCACTTCTTTCAGAAGCTACTGGCTGGGGGTCTAAATCCATCTGCACTGCATCTGTGCACTGCATA